CTGGGGTGGGGTCGTGCTGGGGTGTGGTCGTGCTGGGGTGTGGGTGCTCTAGGGTGGGGTCGTGCTGGGGTGGGGTCGTGCTGGGGAGTGGTCGTGCTGGGGTGTGGTCGTGCTGGGGTGTGGTCATGCTGGGGCGTGGTCGTGCTGGGGTGGGGTCGTGCTGGGGTGGGGTCGTGCTGGGGTGGGTTCGTGCTGGGGTGTCCGCACCCTGTGATTTATCGATCGGGTCGTGCTGGGGTGTGGTCGTGCTGGGGTGTGGTCGTGCTGGGGAGTGGTCGTGCTGGGGTGTGGTGCTGGGGGGTGGTCGTGCTGGGGGTGGTCGTGGGGGGGGTCGTGCTAGGGGGTGGTCGTGCTGGGGCGTGGTCGTGCTGGGGCGTGGTCGTGCTGGGGCGTGGTCGTGCTGGGGTGTGGTCGTGCTGTGGTGAGGTCGTGCTGGGGTGTGGTCGTGCTGGGGTGTGGTCTTGCTGGGGTAGGGTCGTGCTGGGGTCGGGTCGTGCTGGGGTGTGGTCGTGCTGGGGTATGGTCGTGCTGGGGTGGGGTCGTGCTGGGGTGGGGTCGTGCTGGGGTCTGGTCGTGCTGGGGTGTGGTCGTGCTGGGGTATGGTCGTGCTAGGGTGGGGTCGTGCATTTCGCTCGAGACATCCTGCCAAAATTCCAGGAAATCGTACAAAAACAAAGGAATTAGTCGAGACATCATCGAAATTCCTTCGCGCGGGGCGCTTTTCCGCGTCGCGGTCGGCTCTGCAAAACAAGCGTTTCGCTCGAGACATCCTCGGCAAACTCTGCGGAGCAAGCGTTTCGCTCGAGACATCCTCAACACACGAAAAAGTGGCCCGCACCCTGTGATTTATCGATCGGGATTTCAAAAACAAGCGTTTCGCTCGAGACATCCTCAAATTTTAATTCGCCGGCCTCCTTCGACCTCGTTATTTATCAGGGAAAAAATTCGCCGGCCTCCCTCAAGCAGGCACCGGGGGACAGGTTTACCTACTAAAAGAGAACCCTGGGCCGATGCCCTTTCCGGGAACAAGCGTTTCGCTCGAGACATCCTCAAATTTTAATTCGCCGGCCTCCTTCGACCTCGTTATTTATCAGGGAAAAAATTCGCCGGCCTCCTTCAAGTTGGCACCGGGGGACAGGTTTACCTACTAAAAGAGAACCCTGGGCCCGTGCCCTTTCCGGGAAAAACGTCAGCCCGCGTCAGCTCGCGTGAGCTCCCCCCCCCCTCGCCAGAGCGGGTCCCGCGCCGGTGCCGGGTCCTGCTTTGTTGACCAGCGTCTTGTAAGTAGGTTACAACTCTCATAACCAGATACATCCTGTTATGTATGTTGTATGAAAACTATCACGGCAAAGCAACCTAACAACGATATGTAGAAGCATATCTGAAAGCATTCCCCTCAAGATTCAGATGAAAATCCAGTTGTAGAATTCTGCTGTTCTCGCAGTCGTAGTCGCATTCGCGATGACAGTCGCAGCGGCAACGGCAGTCGCAGTCACAGCCTCAGCCTCAGCCTGCCTCAGCCTCAGCCTCAGCCTCAGCCTCAGCCTGCCTCAGCCTCAGCCTCAGCCTCAGCCTCAGCCTCAGCCTCAGCATCAGCCTGCCTCAGCCTCAGCCTCAGCCTGCCTCAGCCTCAAGCCTCAGCCAGCCTTCAGCCTCCTCAGCCTCAGCCTCAGCCTGCCTCAGCCGCAGCATCAGCCTGCCTCAGCATTCAAAATGTGGCCCAGGAATGGAGTTCTGGGAACTAGAAGAACACGAAGTGGCCTACAGTTGGCTCCGGGCATTCAAAATCATGCCCAGGAATGGAGTTCTGGGAACTCGAAGAGCACGAAGTGGCCTACAGTTGGCTCCGGGCATTCAAAATGTGGCCCGGGAATGGAGTTCTGGGAACTCGAAGAGCACGAAGTGGCCTACAGTTGGCTCCGGGCATCCAAAATGTGGCCCGGGAATGGAGTTCTGGGAAATCGAAGAGCACGAAGTGGCCTACAGTTGGCTCCGGGCACTCAAATGTAGCCCGGGAATGGAGTTCTGGGAGGTCGAAGAGCACGAAGTGTGTGACTGTTGACGAAAAACGAGCCCGGCTCTGTTCCCAGAATGTGGCCTGGGAATGGAGTTCTGGGAGGTCGAAGATCACGAAGTGTGTGACTGTTGGCGAAAAGCGAGCCCGGCTCTGTTCCCGGTTCTCCAGAATGTGGCCCGGGAATGGAGTTCTGGGAGGTCGAAGAGCACGAAGTGTGTGACTGTTGGCGAAAAACGATTCCCGGTTCTCCTCCCCAGCACCCGCCCAGACCCCCCTGTGGAGTCCAGATGCTCTCTTTTGACACCACTAGAAACCTATCAGCAAAAGCTCTTAGGTAATTATCCCAGCAAAGCAACCTAACAGCTATATGTAGAAGCATATCTGAAAGCATTCCCCTTAAGATTCAGATGAAAATCCAGTTGTAGAATTCTGCTGTTCTCGCAGTCGTAGTCGCATTCGCGATGACAGTCGCAGCGGCAACGGCAGTCGCAGTCACAGCCTCAGCCTCAGCCTGCCTCAGCCTCAGCCTCAGCCTGCCTCAGCCTCAGCCTGCCTCAGCCTCAGCCTCAGCCTGCTTCAGCCTCAGCCTCAGTCTGCCTTCAGCCTCGGCCTCAGCCTCAGCCTGCCTCAGCCTCAGCCTGCATCAGCCTCAGCCTCAGCCTCAGCCTGCCTCAGCATCAGCCTGCCTCAGCCTCAGCCTCAGCCTCTGCCTCAGCCTCAGCCTGCTTCAGCCTCAGCCTCAGTCTGCCTTCAGCCTCGGCCTCAGCCTCAGCCTGCCTCAGCCTCAGCCTGCCTCGGCCGCAGCATCAGCCTGCCTCAGCATTCAAAATGTGTCCCAGGAACGGAGTTCTGGGAACTAGAAGAACACGAAGTGGCCTACAGTTGGCTCCGGGCATTCAAAATCATGCCCAGGAATGGAGTTCTGGGAACTTGAAGAGCACGAAGTGGCCTACAGTTGGCTCCGGGCATCCAAAATGTGGTTCGGGAATGGAGTTCTGGGAGGTCGAAGGGCACGAAGTGTGTGACTGTTGGCGAAAAGCGAGCCCGGCTCTGTTCCCGGTTCTCCAGAATGTGGCCCGGGAATGGAGTTCTGGGAGGTCGAAGAGCACGAAGTGTGTGACTGTTGGCGAAAAACTATTCCCGGTCCTCCTCCCTGGCACCCGCCCAGACCCCCCTGTGGAGTCCAGATGCTCTCTTTTGACACCACTAGAAACCTATCAGCAAAAGCTGTTAGGTAAAAATGTACTTATAACTAGGCTGTGTGTGTTATTCAAAGACACGTGAGGTACGCCATGAGGCAGGCCATAGACAGTTCGCACGTGCGGCGCGCAGTATGGAACGAGTCACGGAACGGCAGCGACAGTCGCAACATGCATGCATGTTATGTGCGAATATCGACACGCATAATCCGATTATCGATTGGGCCAGGGGAAGTGAGAAATCACAAATGTCCGACTTGTGCTTTCTTGTCAGTTCCATAGCTTATGCAATCCCTGCGCGCCGCGGGCAACGCAACCCTACGAGGCGTTCACATCATCCGCCCTACTCTCCTTTGACTGTGCCCCCTTGAGGGGGGGGTATATTCCTTCCCTGCCGCGTGTAATCGTCGCAGCCTGTACCACAGGACGAACATAAACAGTGGTAGCGGGAGATAGCGAGGAGAGAGGGAGTGGCGGAAGGGAGGGAGGAAGGAGGGGGGGCAAGAGGGAGGGAGGGAGAAGATGGAGCACGAGGGGCGTTAGCAAGAGGGGAAGGCGAGAGTGTGATTCCTGAGTAAATAATGGGGAAGTCCCGCGAGATCGCGATTCCCGAGCGCTGGGAGAGCGATTCGCATACATATATGTATATATATATATATATATCGTATTATATTGCAGTCTCAGGCGAGAGAGGGAATACTGAATGAGTTGCCAGAAAGTCTCGAGCGGGAGCAGGGTTTCTTAATACATTGCGAGTAAGTATATCACAGGAGCCGCCGTTGTAGCAAACCAGGGCCAACAACATATTCTGAGGCCCCACAGCTCCCCTAGTGAAACACAAGGTGCGAACCCTTGAAAGGGGCGCTTCAGTTGGAAAAACACAATGGGAACCAGAAGGGGGAAATCTATATAGTTTCAAGAAACGAGAACCCAACAGACAACAAACAGGAAACCAGCAGAATCTGGGCCACGGAATCCCACTTCACCCACGCACCCAGGGATGGTGTAAGTCCGCTTGACCCCTTCATTTTGATTCGTCTCCTGCAGCGCTTCCGCCCGAAGGCTCGGCCAAGCAGCCTTGAAGAGGAACTGCCTTGAACCCTTCCTGCGTAATATCAGGAATGGGAGAAAAACCATGATCACACCACTCAACGGGGTGCCCCGCGAGACCCCCGCTCTCGTCGAGCAGCGCCTGCACTCAGGGATCACTGACTACTTCCCTCTTCCTGGAGCAATCCGTTGGGCATTCTGGGTTCTCGCATGCCTAGGATTCGCTTCGTTTTTGGACACCCGAAAGGGGTGTGGAAAACATGTGTACGATGCCCGGGACCTCCCCGGGGTGACTCGTACGGGAACAAAGGAGCAGCCGAGACCACCCCGGGCGGCTCGACTGCTCGGACCGATACCTCAAGGGCGCCCTCGAGTGCGCGAAGTTGTTCGCGCTTCGCGGTTCGGCTCCGCTTCTTCCTCATCCTCCTCCTCTCCCCTGGGGAGGCGGCGCGAGAGCGCGAAGTTCTTCGCACCTCGCGCTCCGCGCAGCGCGAAGCGCGAAGCTGGGAGCCGTTGACACCCCCCCGGACGAGTCGGTCCGTCCTGGAGCCCCCGAGCATCAACAACCGCATAATCTTACGGTGGATGCAGATTATACGGTGTGGTGATGACTCTTACGGAGTGCACCCGTAAAACTATATACCATGAGAAGGAGGATGCGTGAGGAAGAGAGGGAGAAGGAAGGAACGCTGAAGGAACCTTCCGACCGCATCGCCCGGTGCTGCCCCCCGCAGGCTCGGCCCAGCAGTCGCCCAGCGCGCCCCTGCCGCCGCTGCGGCCGCCGGGCCCGGGCGCCGCGGCGCGGACGCCCACTTCGGCCCGGGTCGGAGGGCACCAACTGTACACCCAGACCCCCTCGAGTAATGAAAAAATCACGACGGGAGGTTTTTCCTAATTTTCGGCCTCTGGGGGCCCTCACCGGGCCTCGGGAGCGTCAAAAAACGACTCAGGATGGAAAGCCGGTCATGGGGAAAGGGTCGGGACCTCTGGAGGGCGACGTAATGAAAAAATCATTACGTCGGGGGTCTGGGCACCAACACCGATCCTGGCCCGGGATCTCGGGGTTGGACAGACCTCCTACCCTGACACGTCGATTCAGGAATTGGCCGTTTTCGGTTCGCGAGAGGGCGTCGCGGCCGTCATTTTTGCGGGTCCAGGTCCGTCGGTTTCGGTCCCAGGCCGTTTTCATTCAGGGGAGGTCTATCAAAGGGAGGTTTGTCCACCGCCGAGGATCACCCAGAGGAGGAAAAGGTACCCATACCTCTACCCTTCCCTCGTTTTCCCCTTTTCGGGCTTCTTGGGAGGCCCTCGTCGCCACCGCCAGGAGAGGTCCGGGGACCAGCGGTATCGGTGCCTCTTGCTCTCCCCAGACACCGATCCTGGGCCCAGGAGCGGTGCATGTGCCCTCTTGCCCAGGGCAGGAGGGCGCCTATGCACCGATCCTGGGCCCAGGGTGCTCCTGGGCCAGGATCGGTGTCTGGTGCACAGCTGGTGCCCTCCCCAGGAGTGGCGCGCCGGGCAGCCGGCCGCGGGGCGCTGACGCCCGCGGGGGGCGCGACTTTGGCCGCGCGGCGCAGCGACCGACGCCGGCGCGGCGCGGGCGGGCGGGGGCTGGGCTGAATCGGAGGAGGAAGAAGTGCCCATACCGTGGTGGAAGTCGATGAATGGAGAGGAGACGTGCTGCCAAATAAGAAGTTCCAGATGTCTAAGAGGTGTTTCAAACATGTCTTAAGTATGTAAAAAACATGTTTGACATAGTTTTAGAACATGCTTTACACATGTTTAACACATCTTTAGTTCAATGATAGGATTGTTAGAGTGTCCATTGCCATGGCATCCACAACCATACTGCTACTCTAGCCTGGTTTCCCACTTTTTGGGCTTTCCGGGAAGCCCTCGTTACCACCGCTGGATTCGTCTCGAAATCTAGGTCAGGATTCACCCCAGAAGAGGTCTGAGGAGTAGCGGTATCGGCACTTTTTGGCTTCCCCATTGATGGGCAAATTTTCCACCACCACTGCCATAGGCATTTGGGGTTGAGGAGAACTGAGGATGGGGAGGCCCTCCTCCTCGGAAGGGCCCAGTGACCGCCCTAAGGTCCAGGTGTGATTGTCGCTATTTTTGTCGCTGCCCGCTGTTTTGGAGGCGTCGGGCAGCATCGAGCTGCGTGAGCTGGCGGAGGTGCTGGCGAAATAGATCCACTGTCTGTGCCCAAAATGGGCCGGATGATTCCTGTGGCCTGAGCGTGGCAGAGCGATCAAAATTGTTGCGCATTCTTGCATCATCCTGTCATCGCGCAAGCACACGGGTGTTGCGCACAGTTGCTAGCCCATGCCATTACATCGCCGATCGCTCCCCAGCGCCGTGTAATCGTGGTGCCCTGACTCTTGATTTTCCAAGCAGCGGTCGCACTACAGACTCGGAAAGGTTTTTACTTAACGCCTCCACACACGCAAATGCCGACCCACAGCGTGTTGAGACTGTCCACACCCATGCAGCCCGCCATTTTGTAATGCAGTCGTGTTACATGTGCACCACATAGGGTCTCATGCTCAGTGCCATGATAGCGGTATGTGTACGCCGCCCACGACGTGTGTGATTGAAGAGTTCAGTGTCGAAGAAAACGTGACACATCCCATTGTGTGTTGAGACCGCATGGCGACCATAATGGGTTTTACCCAACCGTACAGACATTCGAGCTCGAATCACCACCGCAAGTTGTGAAGACGATTCGAACGACACGGGGCCGAAACCATGCCAAACGAGGGAGAAGACATGCAAATCCTGAGGACGTCTCAAGGGAAGTTGGGCCGAAACCAAGCCACAACAGGACCAAGCCAGGCAAATGTTGAGGATATGCGCGGCCAAACCGGGCCAAAGCAAGCCTAACCAGGGGACAAACCAGGGAGATTTTGAGGGTGTCCCTGGCAGAATCGTCCAAAACGAGGCTGCATCCATTCTTCTTAATTCCCTACCTAGGCTCTGCCTAGAAGGGTTCTTACTCGCTTGGCTTAAAGCGGCCGGGCAGTGCAAACCGCCCCGGGCGGTTCCCCCAGTCCCCTGGGAGCCAAGTAAAAGCAACAGCAAAGGTAAAAGCAAACGCGCGGTTCCCCCAGTTGCGCTCCCTGGGTGCCAAGCAAAAGCAAAAGCAAAGGCAAAAGTGAAGGCAACAGCGAAGGCAAAGCAAAGGCATAGCATAGCATAGCATAGCATAGCATAGCATAGCATAGCGCAGCATAGCATAGCGCAGCATAGCATAGCATAGCATAGCATGTTGCTTTCCTAGAGGCTCCAACTCCTAGGTAGGGTCGCACTGGGATAATCAATTTCTAAGCATAGGGGTGGATCACCACAGGGCCCCCCCCGCAAGCAGAACCCCGATTAGAATTTCAGGAGTGGGGCGTTTGGATCCCGGGCCCGCAGTTTCGGATGGGGTTGGGCGCAGAAACCTTCATTTGTATTTCGAGCGCTGCTGGGGCCTGGGCGTGGCGTTCGGAGAAATGATTCCGAGCCTAGTCAGCCTCGGAACAGTTTTCTCCGAACGCCGCCACAAACGCACGCCCATGGCGATCCACAGCGTGTTGGGAATGTCCACACCCATGCCGCCCGCCATTTTGTAGCACCGCCGTGTTACAAATGGACCGTAATGGGTATTCATGCCACTGCTTACGTTTGTACACGCCACGCCCACCACGACGTGTGTTAATGGACTGTTCAGTGTCGAAGAAAACGTGACGCCTCCCAATGTGTGTTGAGCCCGCATGGCGTACTATTGGTTGCCCACGCCACTACATCGCCGATCGTCCTCCAGCGCCGTGTAATCGTGGTGCCCTGACTCTTGATTCTCCAAGCAGCGGTCGCACTACAGACTCGGAAAGGTTTTCACCGAACGCCGCCACACACGCAAATGCCGACCCACAGCGTGTTGAGACTGTCCGCACCCATTCAGCCTTCCATTTCGTAGTGCAGTCGTGTTACATGTGCACCACAGTGGGTATTCATGCCACCGTGCCATTATAGCGGTATGTAAACGCCGCCCACGACGTGTGTTATTGAAGCGTTCAGTGTCGAAGAAAACGTGCCACATCCCACTGTGTGTTGAGACCGCATGGCGGCCATAACTGGTTTTACCCAACCGTACGGACATTCGATAATTTCTTTTGTGCACTATACCAGATCGAACTACCGCCGCAAATTGTGAGGAATGAAAAGGTGCCGAAGGAAAAGTAATGCAAATCTTGAGGACGTCTCAGGCGAACATGCGCCGAAACTGTGCCCAAGCAGAGCCAAACCAGGCAACACGTGAGATCGTCTCAGGCGGAACCGGGCTAAAACCATGCTAACCTAAGATGGAACCAGGCAGATGTCGAGGACGTCTCATGCGAAACCGGGTCCGTCCAAACCAGGCCAAACCATTTCCAAACCATGCAAATTTCGAGGACGTCTCAGACACGGGCCCAAGCCAGGCCAAACCAGGGGCCAGGCCAGGCAAGTTCTGAGGATGTCTCCGGCGGGGCACGCGGCCAAGCCAGGGGCAAAACCAGGCTGATGTTGAGAGCGCCCCAGGAAGAATCGCCCGAGCCAGGATCCATCCATTTTCCTTCAACATTAGAATCAAAGGACTGGATCACCCAGGGGGCCCCCCGCAGGCGGAGGCCCGATTAGAATTTTGTGAGGGACGCGTTTGGACCGCGCGCCTGCTGATGCGGACGTGATTGGGCGCAGAAGCCTTCGTTTGTCTTGCGTTGTCGGGGCCTTGGTCTGGCGTTAGGAGAAGTGCTTCCGAGCCTGATCAGCCTCGGGAAGGTTTTCTCTGAACGCCGACACACACACACACACACACGCACGCACGCCCATGGCAATCCACAGCGTGTTGGGAGTGTCCACGCCCATGCCGCCCGCCAGTTTGCAGCGCAGTCGTGCTACATGTGGACCGCTGCGGGTATTCGATGGTATCTACGACACCGTGCCATTATTTCGGTTTGTACACGTCCACCACGACGTCTGTTAATTAACCTTCCAGTGTCGAAGGAAATGTGACACATCCCACTGTGTGTTGAGGCTGCATGGCGACCATAACGGATGTTTCCCAACCTCACAGACATTCGGTGATTTCTTTTGTGCAGGGTGCCAGCTCGAATCACCACCGCAAGTTGTGAGGACGATTCGAACGAAACGGAGCCGAAACCATGCCAAACGAGGGAGAACGCATGCACATTCTGAGAACGTCTCAAGCGAACATGGGCCGAGACCGCGCCAAGACAGAGCCACACCGGGCAAGTGGTGAGGACGTCTCAGGCGAAGATGGGGCCAACACCATGCCAAAGCAGGGGCTAAACCAGGCACGTTCGGGGGATTTCTCAGGCGGGGTGCGTGGCCAAACGAAGCCAAACCAAGCCAATTCAGGGGCCACACCAAGCAGATTTTGAGGAAGTCCCGGGAAGAATCGCCTAAACCAGGCTCCAGCCACTCTCCTTGATCAAATGATGATTACAGGAGTGGGTCGCCACAGGGCCCCCCCCTAGGCGGAAACTCCTTTAGAATCATATGAGGGGGGGCGCTTCGACCGCGCGCCCGCTGATGCGGACGGGGTTGGGTGCAGAAGTCTTCTTTTGTATTTCAGGCGTTGTTGGGGCCTCGGTGTAGCGTTCGGAGGAATGCTGCCGAGCCTGATCAGCCTCGGAAGCGCTTCTCCGAACGCCGCCACGCACGCCCACGCCGACCCACAGCGTGCTGGGACTGCTACGTGTGGACCACTAGGGGTATTCATGACACCATGCCATTTCTTCGGTTTGCACAAGCCTGCCACGACGTGTGTTAATGAAGCGTTCAGTGTCATAAAGCTCGTGACACATCCCACTGTGTGTTGAGACCGCATGACGACCAAAACGGGTGTTTCCCAACCGTACAGACATTCGATGATTTCTCTTGTGCAGTATGCCAGCTCGAATCACCACCGCAAGTTGTGAGGACGATTCGAACGAAGCGGAACCAACACCATGCCAAACGAGGGAGAACGCATGCATATTCTGAGAACGTCTCAAGCGAACATGGGCCGAGACCGCGCCAAAACAGAGCCAAACCAGGCACTGAGGACGTCTCAGGCGAAAGTGGGCCAACATCAAGCCAAACCAATGCGAACCAAACAAATGTTGAGAACGTCTCAGGCGGAACGGGGCCCAAACCAGAGAAAAAAACCATGGCCAAACCATGCATATTTCGAGGATGTCTCAAGCGAAACCGGGCCCAAGCCAGGCCCAACCAAGGGCCACATCAGGCAAGTTTTGAGAAGATCTCAGGCCGGGCGCGCGGCCAAGCCAGGCACAACGAAGGCCATACAGGGGCCAGGCCAAGCAGATTTTGAGGACGTCCCAGGCAGAATCGCCCAAATTAGGCTCCATCCGTTCTCCTTAATTAGATTCCAAATTAAAAGAGAAGTGGACCACCCTAGGGCCCCCCCCCCCGCAGGCGGAAACCCGCTTAGAATTTTATGGGCGGGGCGTTTGGACCGCGCGCCAGCTGATGCGGATGGGGTTGGGTGCAGAAGCCATCATTTGTTTTTCGGGCGTTGTAGGGACCTTGATGTGGCGTTCGGAAAACTGTTTCCAAACCCGCTTCGGAAGGTTTTTTTTCCTTGGCGCCGTCACACACGCTTACACCGATCCACAGCGTGTTAGGCATGTCCACACCCATGCCGCCCGCCATTTTGCAGCGCAGCCGTACTACATGTGGACCACAGTGGGTCTCCGCCCACCACGACGTGTGCTAACGAACCGTTCAGTGTCGGAAAACAGTGACACATCCCATTGTGTGTTGAGACCGCATGGCGACCATCACGAATGTTACCCAACCGTACAGACATTCGATGATTTCTCTTGTGCATTACGCCAGCTCGAACCACCAGCGCAAATTGTGAGGACGATTCGAACGAAACGGAGCCGAAGCCATGCCAAACGAGGGAGAAGACATGCAGATTCTGAGGACGTCTCAAGCAAAATTGTGCCGAGGCCGAAACCAGACCAAACATGGGCCACACCAGGCAACTTGCGAGGACGTCCCAAGCGAAACTCTGCCAATACCATGCCAAAACAAGGCGAAGCCACGCAAATGTTGAGGACGTCGCAGGCGAAACCAGGACTAGACCAGACCAAACCAGAGCCACACTATGCAAATTTCGAGGACCATTCGGGCGAAACAAAACCAGGCCAAACCAAGGGCCAAATCAGGCAAATTCGAAGGATATCTCAGGCGGGGCGCGCG